AATTTGAGACAGCAGGTTGTTTTTTCTGTCGGGAAGGCAAGTCCCAAGAATTATAACAGCATCGGTGTGCTCGTTTGATTAATCTTGAAGTCTCAAGATGTCGAGCTCTAGCGAAGTAGTTTACATGGCGGGCGTAGTAGGTCATAGTATATCTTGCTCGTCCTCGATGTTTCAAGAAAGGATTCAGAATTCCTACTTAAAAATCCACGCCTACTTGCCGCGGCTAGATATTGATATGACAGAAATTTGGCCTGTTAGAGAGCGAATTGGAGGTCTTTGAAAGTGACTAGAAGCATTTTCTGAATGCGGAAGACATGGAGAGACGTAAAGTGGGAGAAGAAAAAAATCAAGGAACGATGTGGCAGTGTTTAAAATATGTCCCTGTCAAGGGGGACCAAAGATAAGAGATTGCCATATGGGGTAGGGGGGGGGGGGTCTGGCCGACCGCCAGAAAAAAAAATTGTATGTACTTTTTTTTTGGAGCCAGATATCGACACAGCTGCCTCCAGGACTTGCAAAATTATCTCCCAGGTCCATATGAGCATCAAATGTGAACCAATACTTTGTTGCATGCGGATCAGTCCTCACTGATCCTGCCCGTGCCAAACACGGTCGCTGTACTGTTGATTACCTAAGGAATTTCGCTTCACTTTTGATTACCCAAGGTAATTCCTCGCCCCTGCCGGCTTATTAATATCGGCTGCCGACCATTGCCACCAAGTTTCGTGAAAGTATGGGTTTTGGGAAGTCCGGGAATCAGTCCGGTATCAAAGACGGCGGCAAGTCCGGCGGCATGGCGGACTTCGAATTCAGATCAAGCCATCAGACACGCTCTATTCGGCCAACCAACTTCTCCCCGCCGCCACCTTTCCTGCTGCCCACCACTGCCCACTTACACTTGCCTATATGTCCAGAGAGCTGCATATGTATGTCCTGTAAGACTGTAAGACTAACAAATATCTCACTGTGACGTTCCTCTTTGAATCCGCGCGATCATTACAAACGTACCTTGTACGCTGCGCTTTGGGGTGCATCTGGACGGTCATCGTGGGCTGTTTGCCTCGAGGCTGCACAAAGGCTGCACACTGAGATCTGAGACCTCGCTCGGGAGCCTTGGATCGATAAGGGGCGGCTGACTGTTTGAGACCATGGCGATCAATCGATCAATATGCCGAATGTGCCGCCGGACCATTACATCAGCCCCGGACGTTCTCCCGTCAGGCACCCCGGACATGATCGCCGGACTTCCCATTTCCCATTTGTTCTCCAAGTTTCACTGATCATATTATCATATTGCGACTTTTTTTTCCATTGCCTGTTCGTGCTACTTACTGTACTATCTCAACTGCTCATCAATTTTTATCCGAGAAGCCCGAGAAATTTTGTTCCGACTTACCGTGATTACAAAAACTCATTTTGAGGAGCACTTGCCTGAAATCTAGGTGGTAAAGACTCAAAGAGTTCCAAACTGGGATCTATGGCGGAACTACTACTTATGCACGTGCACGTGGGTGAGGGGTGAAGGTGCTCTCATCTTTTCTCGCATTGATTCTGTAATTCAATGTGTGCATGTCTCACAAAACTTCCTAAATAATTTGGGCTTTATTCGTGCAACGCCGCTCTCGTGGTATGTCAGGCGCGAAAGCTTTCGGCAACGCTGTTTCCCGAAAAGGGAATTTGATGGCATCAGGTGGCTGTGGGGAGGGGGGGGGGTCCACCGACCCTCTCAGAAAAAAAAATTGTAGGTGATATCAATTTTTCTTATCTTTGGTCCCCCTTGGTCCCTGTTATACCCGGGGGGGACGTTCCTCCTCTCCCCAGGAATGCATGCGGGATGCCTTATAGCCATGGAATCCATCCCCTTTTGCCGGAAATCCACCTGGTATGGCTGTCTAGGTCTCTCTGCCACCCGGCCTATCCCAAAAAGCACGTTGCCACACATACGCCAGTCGTACGCCTCGGTGATCTATCGCGTTTTTCGCAAAGAAGTCTGCGGCCAATGCTTCGCATACTCCTTTGACGCGCGGGGGAACGCGTGGAATATCAAATTCGAAGCGGGGAGTGGGATCTGGTTCGAAGCGTACCTGCACCTGCACGAGTGGATCCGAAGCGAGAACGCCGTCATCAACGCCGCCGTGGACAAGCCCGCCAAGATCATGGATAAACGCGCAGCCGGGAAGACTGTCCCAGTGCGGCTGGAGCTGCTGCTAGTCAAGCCCATGACGCAGGAGATCATTGATCTGGCGTGGGCAGCCGTAGAGACTCGGAGCGCATCGCTTCCGACAGACGCTCTGCAGCCCGTGCTGAATGAGATGGAGCTCGACACCTGCGGTTCACACTCTCCGCCCTCGTGCGCCGCTACCTACACGACTTGACGCAGACCGCCCCGCTTCTCAACTCTTGGGTGGACCTTCTGGGGCTGCAAAACAACGAGCTACCGTTCATCCAAGGCCGGTCGAGGCCCTTAGACTCGCGTCTCAGCTGCGCGTCTACGCCTTTATGCACCACATCGTCCGCGCGATTCCCGCTCTTACGCTCCGAAACCGTCCGTGCCGTTTGTGCTCGGGACCAGTGGAACGTGTCTGGCATGTACGAGATGAGTCAGGAGGAGGACGAGATGTTCGGGGGGAGGGTGTACGCGTCCGCCTCGTCCTTCAACCACGGCAAGTCGCATCTCGTTTATCTGATTCCACGCTACTTGCTTATCATCGAGCGCAGACTGTGCGCCGAACGTCCGCAAAGATCGAGCTGGGCGCGCGCAACTAGAGACGTTGCAATCAGCGATGAGCTGAGAGCTCTGCATCAGCCACATCAACATTGCTGACGACGTCGTGAGTAGAAGGAAGGAAGTTTCATCTAATTGGTATTTTGACGGTGTGTGCCAACGGCAGGTGCGATTCCAATCCTTTCCCTGACCTCGTGCTGACCCGTTTTGTAGTATTTCATTTTCATTTTCAATCTCATTTCAGCACGGGCGTGCTGTTCCATGACGAATATTTCGAGCAATGGACATTGACCTAATGGTGAGCCGCACAAAGTTGACCTGGAACTAATGGGACTAATATCCACCGGTAGAGTGCCCGCCCCAACTTCGAGCGCCAAGCCTTGTCGCTTTGACCTTTCCACGTGACCGCGTTTCGGACTCCGCGCCGTACTCGCGCCGTACGCTATTGTGATTTCAGAGGTCAAAGAGGCGATCACGGGGACATCGCTCCTTGCCTTTAACTCCCATCCTTGCCACCCCCGCCACTCAACTCTTGCTGCACGCACCAACACTCGCCCTCGACGTTGACTTTGATCCGTCGGTATAGACTTCAGACTTCGCGTCAGTCTCTTGCAGTATTTTGTTGAGTGGAATTTTGGGTGCGGGCGTGCTACGCCGTAACAGTACTGCGCCAGTGCTCCAAGTCGGTGCGAATCCGCTTCTTTCTGTGACCCCGTGCTGACCCTTGTTCTAGTATTTTATTTTCATTCTCATTCTCATTTCACAACTGCGCCAGTGCTTCAAGTCGGTGTGATTCCGATTCCTTTCTTGACCCCGTGCTGACCAGTCTTGTAGTATTTCATTTTCATTTCGGCGTGGGCGTGCTATTCGGTGACTGCGCCAGTGTGCCAAGTTGGTGCGATTCCGCGTCTTTCCCCGAGCCCGTGCTGACCCATGTTCTTGTATTCTTTAATTTCAATTTTCATTCTCATTTCGGCGCCGGCGCGCTATTCCGTGACGCACCAATGTGCCATGGCTGTGCCAAGTCGGTGCGATTCTGTTTATTTCCCTGACCCGTGCTGACCCGTCTTCTTGTATTTCATTTTAATTTTCATTCTCATTTCGGCGCGGGCACTCTATTTCGTGACTGCCCCAGTAGTGTGCCAAATCGGTGCAAGTCCGCTCCTTTCCCCGAACCCGTGCTGCTTTTATTTTCATTTTCATTCTCACTTTCATTTTGGCGCTGGCGCGATGCTGAGTCACTGTAGTACGCTACTCCTTGGCTCCTTGCTGACCACCTTCCCTTGTTTCATTTTCATTTTCATTTTCATCCCCTCATCTTGCTCGGTGCGGACTTCATTTTCTTGCAACCCTTACTAACTCCTTAAGTAGGGTTGCTTTCTCACTTGCCTTTCATCTCGCAACGTAAGTTTCATTCTCATTCCTATGTTCTCGTCAGTGACTATTCCTGACTAGAGTGTGGTTTCATTTTAGAGCGTAGTTAGTAGTAGAAATAGTAGTAGAAAATGAATATATGATGACTGCTATAACAGTGGAAAATTAATTCTCGCGACTGATATCACTGATTGAATTGGGGGTGGGGAGTCGAACCCCGTCCTGTGGCTGGATACAAAATCATCTTCCTAGAAACTGCAGTTGTGCACCGTACACCACACCCGATTATATGCTCTTTGTTCAAAGTATATTTTATAGCTGGCAGATGCACGGGATGAAAAAATGATCACAATTGACAGCTTATTCGGGCACGGGGAATCGAACCCCATCCTTCTGCTGAATATTCTCTGGAAGGTCACCTAGAAATTGCTGCTGTGCATCGTACACCACACCTGATTATTCCACCTCACTTCGAGCGCAATGGATTCGCTTGTTTCATTTCATTTAGTTCAAGACCGCTCATGAAACTTTGACCATAGGAGCGGCAGATGAAAAAGAAATGAAGTTCACTGTTGGGAAGTGGCTGGCATCGTGCACCCGATTATGTTCTCTGTATTTGAAGTATTCCAAGTAGGCAATATTCGCTGGTTGGCCTCTGAGCAGACTCTAGAGAAAAAAGGTTACAGCAAGGGGAGCTATTCGAGTGCGGAGTCGAACCCCGTCCTGCGGCCAGATTCAAGTATAAATTCGTCAGCACTGCAGCTGTGCACCGTCCACCACACCCGATGAGTCCTCCTCTCATTTACTTGCATTAAACCATGTATTATATTATATTATTGGACTCTTTGACTTGTGAGAAGAAGAAGTCGAAAAAATTAGTTCTTTTTGGATGTCAGAGTTATTCGGGTGCGGGGAGTCGAACCCCGTCCTGCTGCTAGATCTATAGAGGATGCACTAGAAACTCCAGCTGTGCACCATACACTACACCCGATGATTTCCTTTACATCAAGCGTCAATATCCAGCCAAATGAATTCACGCAAGCCCGAGGGCAAATCAAAGGAAAAACAAGGCCAAGTTCTGTGCCATCTATTAGTACTTTGGTTCACTCTGAGTTCGAAATCGACTTCCCCTACCCTCGGACTCCCAACAGCAAAAGGAACGAGAACTAGACTATCTGGGCTCGGGAGCCGAAACCTTCTTAGCAGTGGTGCACTGTACACTGTATCCCATGATTTCCCTGAACATCCAACTCCACATTGTTGGGTTCTTAAATTTGAAGGCAAATGTAGGGTCCTCCCTCCACATTCGGGCACAGGGAGTCGAACCCCGTCTTGCTGCTGAATGTGGAACTGGTACCTAGAAACTGCAGCTGTGCACCATACACCACACCCGATTAGAGTACCACCTCTGTATTTGAAGTAATCCAGGTAGGCATCAACATTAGGCACTGCTTGACCTTCGACCGAAAGGTGTAGCAAGGCAAAGAATAAATTCAGCAGTGGGGACTGGAACACCGTTAAATTCGGGTGCAGGGAATCGAACCACCTGTCTTGCTGCTGCATGTTCGAAGGAAGATTATCTAGTATTATTGGACCCTCTGACTTTTGACGAGAAGAAGAAGAAACAGAAAAAAAAAATGCAACCGGCCAAACTGCAATCGGGCACGGGGAGTCGAACCCCGTCCTGCTGCTAGATATTCGAATTCGGTGATGCTAAGAAAGTGCAGCTGTGCACCGTACACCACACCCGACTAACTCCTCTGCATTTGAAGTATTACAAGTAGGCATTAACATTAGTCGCTGCTTGACCTTCGACCGAGGTGTAGCAAGGCAAAGAATAAATTCGGGTGCAGGGAGTCGAACCCCGTCCCGCTGCTAGATGTTTAAAGGAAGATTGTCTAGTATTATTTGACTCTCTGACTATGAGAAGAAGAAGGAAGTAGAAAAAAAATCACAGGTCAAACCGCAATCGGGCACGGGGAATCGAACCCCGTCCTGCTGCTGAATTAATCTTCCCCGGACGTAGAAGCTGCAGCTGCGCGCCGTACACCACACCCGATTATTCCACCTCACGTTGAGCTCGATTTCATGTGGTTTCATTTCATTTCGTTAAAGACTGGTCACGGAACTTTGAACATGGCGGATGAAAAATAAGAATTCTTGGATTCTACCGTTGGAAAGTGACTCAAGCTGACACTGGGTGTGGATGCGCTAAGGACATTCGTACTCCACGGACGATAAATATTTGAGGCGTCGCGAGGCTGAAAGAGCAAAGGAAATTTGGCAAGAACCCGGATTTGACCGGGATTGATCGGAGTGCCTCCGTTGATGCGATCAACAGTCCTCTTTTGCTCCGCTCACCAGCCTTTTCGTCTCCCATAGAATGCGCCTCTAATCCATGCTGGCTTTGCGTGCTCTATGCTCTAGATTTTACCTCTCCTCCTCCTCCTCCTCCTCCCCATTCTTCCGTCCTCGCCCTCGCCACTCCCATTCTTCAAGATATCCCACCCTAGATGCAGACACTCGCACCAGCCTAGACGCCGGCACCATCGAGCGTCTCAGAAATCCGACACGCGGCGGGCAGAACCTCTCCCTGCGATATCGCAGGCTGGAGCAGTCTCTGCGCGGGAAGGAGGCCCTGCAGCGCGATATGCGTGCGCGCGAGTCCGAATCCAAATACCAGGAGGCACCCGATTTTGCGGAGGAGAGCGGTGTGGCAGCGACAAAAGACGCCAACTACTTCCACGGCTTCAAGATCCCCACGCGGCCCAAGGCGCCGGAATCCGATGGTACGCATGTTTTCCTTGCTCTCTCGTCGAAAACTGATTTATATCGGCGGATGCACACAGAATGCTGCATGTCGGGCTGTGCCGTGTGCGTGTACGACCTGTACGAGGAGGACCTCGGTGTGTACACGGCGTCTCTAGAAGGCTTGCGCGCGGCGCTAAATGCGAAGGGGATTCCTGAGCCGGGGTGGCCTGAGGGCGTACGTCGACGCGAGGACCAGGGAGGTGGCAGCAAGGGCGCTACCCTCAGCGCGTTCGAGGCACTTGAGAGGGCGCTGGCGGAGAAGCGCATGGGCGCCGTGGCCGCGGGGGAGGCCAAGGCCGAGTAATACACCCGCCGTTTTCTGGTGTCGACGTTGATGCGACGTGCAGGCGCAGAGGCTTGACTTTCCCGAAGACTAATACGCAGATGCGCCGACGCCAGAGCTGGAAACGGACGCTCGACGACGCGTACGAGGGGCTGCGGTGGCTCGCGTTTAGCCAGCGCTGACTCGTATTGGAGGCTATCCTCTGGATGCGCCAGCGCCCCACTCTGCTCTCTGCAGCGCCGCGCAGATTCCCGGACTCCACCCGTCCAGCGGCCTCTTAATCTCAATTCCAATCGCATTCCCAATTCCCAGCAAAGTGCAGCGGTGCACGGCGCGGGGTCGTCTTCATCTTAATCTCCGTCCCCGTCTCCGTCCCCGCCTCCTCGTCTTTGTCGCGGCGTCCCTCATTCGCTCGCCAAATCTAATCGAATCAATCTGCTCCGCGCCTCCCGAAGACGCGTGCAGCGCAGCCCCCGAAGCCGCACACGGCGTACACGTCCCTTGCATGGCCTGGCCGCGTACACTCCCATCCACACCCCGTCGCACCGCACCCCGCCTTACTCAACAAACACGAAATACGACCCTGCTCCCCTCCACATAGCGTAGCGGCCACGGCATCCGGACATAGCAGCAGCTCTCGACGCGCGTGCGACTCGGAGGGGCGCGGGGCCGGGGGCGCGGGTGCTGCCTCAGCGCGCATACACTCCCCCTCCCCCTCCCCCCCCTGTCCCCATCCACACCCCGCCGCATAGCACCGTACCCCGCCTCACCCAACAAACACGAAACACGAAATACCACCCCTCCCCCCCCTCCCCACCCCTCCGCCGCACATAGCGTAGCGGCCGCTATATCCGGATATGCGCAGCGGCTCTCGACGCGCGGGCGAAGCGGGGGGCGCGGGGCTGGAGGCGCGGGTGCTGCCTCAGCGCGCATACACTACACTCCCCCTCCCCCTCCCCCATCCACATCCTGCCCCAGCCTCACCGCACCGTACCGCACCTTACCCACAAACACGAGATACGAGATACGACCCTCCCCTCCCTTCCGCACCGCTCCACATAGTGGCCACGACTTCCGGACATCGCAGCAGCTCTTCACGCGCGTGCTGCCTCACACGACTCGAGAGGGATTTTCGCGCTACTGTGTGACCCTGAGCGGGATCGGATCTGGGGGAGGGGCGGGAAGGGCGGGCGGTGGAATGGATTTCGCGTAATCGAGATAGGGTGGTTTTCGCGTTGCGTCGCGCGGGAGGAGGAGGACGGGAGGAGGAGGAGGAGGAGGAGGAGGACGGTTTGGGCGGAGGGCGGAAGACGGAGGCGTTTCTTCGTGGTCGCGGTTGTGGTTGTGTCGGCCCCATGCACGTCGAAGTCGGCATCACGTCGACTATCACCTCAATCGCTCCGCGCGTCTCCCCCGAGTAATCTGACGCGCAAGATTCTACATGACGTCGGCATACGGCGGGAATCGGCGACCGTCCTCTCGTTCTTCTACTCTCCGTCTTCATATACTACACCGTCTCCTCTCCCTCGCCACTGTCTTCCTCCTTCCCCCGCCCTCCCCCTTCTTCGCCGGACACAGCACACCGACCTCGATGACAACGCTCTCGCACTCGCGTCCGCCCGTGTCCTGCGGTCCTGCGGTATTGCGTCGGAGAGGGTGATCTCGGCGCCGTCGCTGTCGTGCGGCGGCGGGGGCGGGAGGATGTCGTACGGGCGCAGGTGGCCTGCTTGGATTCAGGAGCGGGGAACGGAGGGATGCATACTGTGGTGGCTGGTGGCCGGTGGGTGGGAGGCTGGGGAGGAGCGTACGGACGTCCCCCGCTTCTCCCTGTTGTTTTTGCTCCTTATCTTGGTTGGCGTCGGGGTGGTCCTCGCCGGTCTCCTTGCGTGGACTTGCATCATGTGCGCGTGAATCGGACGGGTGGGGAAGGACGACATATCCGATGGTATGTCTACGTCTACCTTGCTTCTACGCCCGCCGGAGACTGACTTGCTTTTGCTTTTGGCTGATTCGCACAGAACGACGCATGTGCGGTGTGTGCCTTGGTACGAAGGCTCCTGTATTTCGCTTTCTGCGGCGGTCACGCTCTTCGCATCCGTACTGCACGACGACCACCACCACCCAGGGCCCTGCCCTGCTTTGTCGTCTACTCCCCCCTGCTCCCTTTCCAGTCTTCGACGAGCCGTGGGCGCCGTATCTTCGGTGCCCTCTACGGCGTCGGCCTCTACGACGCCATCACCCACTCCACCGTCTTGACGGCTGACGGCTGTTCTTGAATCGAGAAAGAGAGCGAGGTGGGAATGATGGGTGCATGGTACACTTCATCTCTCTAACACTATGGGTGGACGTATTCGGCGGGCACGCGCGCCACTCTTCTTTCAGGAGCACGCGGCGGCTTCTGACGCGCTCTGATCTGGGGGGATAGATACGGCGAGATCGAGTACCGAGATACCGACTCCCCGGGATACCATGCCACGGTGCGTCTTGCGCCACCTCGTCGAAAACTGACTTGGCTGATCATGATTCATGCAGAGTGCTGCATGTCGAGCGGGGCTGTCTGTCGCTGTCCGTGTCGGTGCACACGATCTGGGCGAGGAGCGGTTGACGCGTACGCGGTCTCTTGTACGACGCTGGCTGCGGTCGGGACTCTCAGGATGGCTGCGCGGGTGCGGTGAAAGGAGCTCGGGGGGACGGCGTGGGCGGTGCCGTGTCTTCCTCCGCGTGAGGCCTCGGGGTGCACTAAGGCCTCGGGTCGGCGCGCGAGGAAGAACGAATTTCGCCCTTGCTAGAAGCCGGCTCTGCGGGAGGCGGGGAACGGGGGTCTTCGTCCGAGACGTCTGTGTCCCAGACAGCGGTATTGGTATCGGGGGGCGCAGAGTCGATCCTTGTCAGTCCGC